TCGAGAGGCCGTGCTACCAAGCGCCGGCCCGGCTCGGCTGCCCCCCTCTTATCGACGGGGTCAGACGGCCGGGGGCGTGGCCCGACGCAGACAAGGCGTCGGGGTATGGTGACAACGCACGGCCGGGTGAGACGATCCGCAGCCAACCCGGGCCCGTCTCCGGGTCCTACCTCCAGGACCCGAGACCGGCAAGGGGCAGTTCACAGACTGAACGACGGTGGGTCTGCCTCCGAGCAGGCCTAAGATACAGTCGGCGAGCGCGGGAGACCGCGCTCCTCGTCCCGAAGAGGATGCAGGATTTCACCGTTCCGTAGGTGAACCTGCGGAAGGATCATTGACACACTCAGTGAGCCCTTGGGTTGCGGGGTCAATCGCAGCCCAAACCCCGGGTCGGCAGGTGCGGCGCTCGCGTTGCATCGGCCTCCTGGGTGGGGAAAGCGCGTGCTCGCGTCCCGCTCGCAAAAAGGAATCGGGTTCCACCCGTGCCCGGGCTGCGAGCGGCGACGAGAGAGATGGCGGGCTCTCGCGTTCCTCCTAGGAGGAGGCGAGCGTCCAGAGCACGCTCGAGGGCACGGAAGGATGACGACCGGCGTTCAGCCGGCTGCCGGATCTCCGTGCCCGTGGCCTTGTCGGAGGATCCGTCGGAACAATGCAGGAACCCCACCTCAGGCCGTGCCCCGCGAGCGCGTCGGTCGTTTTGGCGAGCGATCGGCGAGCTGGCGTGGTGCGGTGGCTCGAAAAAAGTCCGAGCACCGATGGATCCGTTGTGGTGCTGAACGGAAAGCGCACCCCGACAGGCATGGGGCACCGCCCTGGTTGATCCCAGACCTCGGCAAACGCCCCTAAGAACGAGTGACGAAACGACCGCCCTCGGGTCCTCCGGGTTGCTCGCAACTCGGGGGGACCGGGCGAACCTCCTCTCGCAGGAGGTCAGGTTGCCGTCCCCTCTCACGCAGCGAGCTTATTAGGGCCGCCACCCGAAAGGCTAGCCGCGATCGGGAGCGAGGCAAGACGCGGACACGGTCGGCCTGGGCGGAGGGGTGGCACCCGAAGCTCTTTCCTTCCAGTTCGTGACGAGCCTCGACACCAGGGAATGCAGCAACCCGGCGGCACCGGGCGTCCATGCGGACAAAAAAAAAACTCCCCAGCCCTGATGGAAACAGCTCGGGCCTACCAAGCGCAAGCGAGGGAAGCCCGGGGCCTGACCTCGAGTATCCTCTGAACACCTTTCCTTCCGACGCTCCTCCTCCCAATCCAGCGTCCCCCGCCACCGGTGCTCGGTCTCTCTTGGCATCGGCGGTGTGACTGCGGGGTCTTGCTCGCCCGGCCTTCTGAATTCCTCTAGGAAGGCTCGGGAAGGGGCGCCCGCGGTGATGGCAAAGGGACCCTTTTGCTACCCCCAACCGTCCCGCTCGCAGTGCATCAAGGAGCTGCGGGCAGAGGCGGAATACAAACCTCTCCGCAACCGGAACTGGCCGTCCGGTCGCAAAAAACCCTCCCTTGAGCGGGGCGCCCACGGGCCCCGGCACCTAATAAAAACTGGGACCCCACTCCTGACGATGGATATCTTGGAACCTGGCTCGATGAAGAACGCAGCGAAATGCGATACGTAATGCGAATTGCAAAACTCCGTGAATCATCGAAACTTTGAACGCATGTTGCGCCCGAGGCCTCGGCCGAGGGCACGTCTGCTTGAACGCCACACACATCCAGGTGGAACCTCGCATCCGAACCCACCCCTCCGCACGCAGCTAAGTGCGGCAGGGGAAACGGGACGGGAAAGCAATGCGGGGCAGACAAGGGGCGCTCGGGTTGGTGTGGGCTCCGGCCCCCCCCTTTCTCCGAGACAATCGCTCGTACCTGGGAAAACGAGATGGCCGTCGCAACCCGTGCGCTCCGGGGCACAAATGGGGGGCAGTCGGTTGAAATCGCAGGGCCGCATTAGCCCGTCTCCGCTCCTCTCGACCCCAGTGCAGATCCCCGGGCGCCACCCGGGAGGACGCGAGTGGGACGAGCGAGATGAGGCGGGCGGCGACCCCGCTGGGCTCGGCGAACCCAGCCGGCCAACGGACTCCGTCCGGACCTCCCAGCAGGTGGGGGGGCCGGTCACTCGGTCCCTCTTTCTCTCCCGAGACGGTCGCGAAAAGGTTCGGGAGCCGGGGGCGTGGCAACCCCCGGTCTCCCCCTCCAAAGTAGCGCACAAGAACGGGCGAGAGGCGGACGGGGCTCGTACAAAAATGGTCGGACGGGGAGGAACCGGGCAAACCCCAAACGATGGCTTCAAGTCAGGCGAGACCACCCGCTGAATTTAAGCATATTACTAAGCGGAGGAAAAGAAAACAACCGTGATTCCTTTGGTAGCGGCGAGCGACCAAGGAAAAGCCCAGGCTTGAAATCCGAGGGCCCCCGGCCCTCCGAATTGTAGTCTGAAAAGGAAGCGTTCTCTGTGACGGGCGCCGCCTTAAGTCCACTGGAAAGTGGCGGCAGAGAGGGTGACACCCCCGTCGGGCGACGACCCGTCACTCCACGAGACGCATCCGAAGAGTCGGGTTGCTTGGGAGTGCAGCCCCAACATGGGTGGTAAGCTCCATCCAAGGCTAAATACGGCCAGGTTTCCGATAGCGAACAAGTACCGCGAGGGAAAGATGAAAAGAACTTTGGAAAGAGAGTAAAAAGTGCTTGAAATCGTCAGGAGGATAAGCGCATGAGCCCAAGCAAACCTGCGGGCCCCGTTCGCGCGGGGCCCGGAGGTACGCAGCGCCGGTCGATGCCGCGGGAAAAGGAGCTCGCTCCCACCGCGGCGGAGACCGAGGATGACCCTCACGGGTCGGCGCTGGCGAAACGGGCTGATGCGACCCGTCTTGAAACACGGACCAAGGAGGCCAACGCGGCTGCGAGCCAATGGGTTGGAAACCACAATGGCGACAGTGAAAGCGACCCGTGAGAAGGCGGCCTCGTGCTGCCCGCACCACGGACCGCCCCGGGGGCCTCGGCGCCCGGGGTGCGTTGAGTAGTCGCGTTGGGACCCGAAAGATGGTGAACTATGCCTGAGCAGGGCGAAGCCAGAGGAAACTCTGGTGGAGGCCCGCAGCGCTACTGACGTGCAAATCGTTCGTCAGACTTGGGTATAGGGGCGAAAGACTAATCGAACCATCTGGTAGCTGGTTCCCTCCGAAGTTTCCCTCAGGATAGCTGGTGCTCGATACGTGGTTACGTCTGGTAAAGCGAATGATTGGCGGGCTCGGGGGAGAAGCTCCCTCGACCGACTCTCAAACTTTAAACGGGCGAGGAGGGCCGCCATCTTAATTGTGGCTGGCTTTCAGGGGTGCTGGCTGACCCCACCAACATGAGTGCCAAGTGGGCCATTTTTGGTAAGCAGAACTGGCGAGGCGGGATGAACCGAAAGCCGGGTTACGGTGCCTAACTACGCGCTAACCTAGATCCCACAAAGGGTGTTGATTGATTAAGACAGCAGGACGGTGGTCATGGAAGTCGAAATCCGCTAAGGAGTGTGTAACAACTCACCTGCCGAATCAATTAGCCCCGAAAATGGATGGCGCTCAAGCGCGTGACCTATACCCGGCCGCACCCGGCTGCTGGTGAGCCGGTGCGAGTAGGAGGGCGCGGTGGGATGCATCGAAGCGTGCGCGTGAGCGCGCGTGGAGCTCCCGATCGCTGCAGATCTTGGTGGTAGTAGCAAATATTCAAATGAGAACTTTGAAGACTGAGGTGGAGAAAGGTTCCATGTGAACAGCAGTTGCACATGGGTTAGTCGATCCTAAGAGATGGGGTAACTCCTTGAGAACGGCGCGGTTCTCCCCGCGCCGCCCATCGAAAGGGAATCGGGTCAAAATTCCCGAACCGGGGACGTGGCAGCTGGCGGCAACGCGAGCGAATCCGGTTACGTCGGCGGGGGCTCCGGGGAAGAGATGTCTTTTCTTTTTCACAGCTCGATGGCCCTGAAATCGGCTTGCACGGAGATAGGGCCTGCGCAGCTGGTAAAGCACCGCACGTCTCGCGGTGTCCGGACCGCCCCCAACGGCCCTTGAAAAGCCGGAGGAGCGAATACTGCTCACGCACGGTCGTACTCATAACCGCATCAGGTCTCCAAGGTGAACAGCCTCTGGTCAATGGATTAATGTGGGTAAGGGAAGTCGGCAAAACGGATCCGTAACCTCGGGAAAAGGATTGGCTGTTATAATCACAATAGGCTTAGATGTGCCTATAATGAGAGATAGAGAGCACAGTCGGATTTCTGTCAGACGGCTTCAAATACTGATAACGATCTGGTCACTGAATCAAACGGTGATGTGTAAATTGGATCTGGAGCGTGTTGCTGTCGTCTATCAGCAGCAAGTTGAATCATGAAATTCCATGAAGATTTGACGACGCTATGGCGGTTTGACTGGCAGGAGGTATAGCAGCCACAATAGTCTTAGGAGTACAAACTTAGCAAGAAGAGTTCGAGAGGGAGATGGTTCCCAGCCTCTACATACCCCAAGAGCCGAGGTCCAGGTTGGTGGTACACCACCACAGGGTCCCCAACCATGAAGAGTCTCGAAACCAACCCTCCAAGGGGCTACACCAAGTGAAATGTAACACTACACGAAGTAACGTTACTATTTTCACTATTTAATATTTATCCGCGTCCCTTGGGCTTGAAATCTTGAGCTCTTGTTCCTGGATCTGCAAGATAAATTCTTCTTGAGTTGATGGGGGCTTGCTGCACACACCTGCGACACGATCGACACTTCACACTCGACAAAATAGAAAAAACACATGCGACACACAAACGACGACTTGACATGCGAGTTGTAAAAACTTGCTAATGTCTTGACCGACACAAACCACATTGTGATACACCATTCAAACACACACACAAGCACTGGATAGCAATGACATAGACTCACAATTCATTCCATGCCATGCATGCACACACACAAACAAGGACGACAAGCCGAGTGCAAGCCATAGGGTTGCACCAACAAACTCCCCCTCGGATTGTTGGCCTTAGAATCTGCTCCCCTTAGTTCAGAGCCATCCCAGCAAGCTTGCAACACTTCCAATGCTGCTGCTCAACCAGCCTCTTGGTCATCATATCAGCTGGCTGCGCCGTCGTCTTCACGTAGTGCAACTCCACTTCACCCGCGGTTACCATGCTCCTCACCCAATGCCACTTCACCTTCATGTGCTTGGTAAGGCCATGAAGAACCGGGTTCTTAGCCAATGCAATAGCACCCTGGCTATCACAGTAGAGGGGGGTAGGTCCTTGCTGCTCCTCCCCCAATTCAGCTAGCAAACGCCGCTGCCACACAACCTCTCTTATGGCACGGAAGAGTGCCATGTACTCGGACTCCACCGAGCTCAATGCTTGGTCCACTTGTTTCTTGCTCTCCCAAGCTGTTGGTCCTCCACCAACACAGCAGATAAAGCCTCCCACACTTGTCATGTCCTCTGGTTCTGATGCCCAAGATGCATCAGAGAAGGCGGTGAGAAAGAGCCTCCCGGGTTCGACTCCATCCGCACCCTTTTGACGCCTTTGTGCCGCCGCGGAGTATTGCAGTCCAACAGTTGCTGTTTGGCCAAGGTACTTGGCCACCCTCTCTCCAGCTGCTACCTGCTCTTCATTAGGGCATTGGACAACCCTAGCTAGCTGCCCAGTAGCAAAGGCTGCATCCGGCCTTGTGTGAACGGCCGCATACATGAGGCTGCCCACCAAGGAGTGAAAACGGCGCCTCTCCTCTTCACCAACACTTTCCTCCGCTGGTCCTTTCACACACTTGAACCCTGAGGGTAGAGGAGTAGCCACATGACCTTCACTCTTCCCAAAGTTTGCAGCCAAGGCCTCCAAGTACTTCTTTTGATGCACTCGCATCCACCGCTTCTCCACATCTCGCTCAATGTGAAGCCCAAGGTAGTAGTTGACGTCACCAAGGGTCTTGCACTTGAACTTGTCTTGAAGCTTCAGCATCACCTCCTTCACAAGGTCAGAGGAGGGTGAGAATATAAGGATGTCATCCACATAAACCACCATGAAGCTCCTCTGCTCCCCCTCGCCAAGCATGAACAACGATTGATCGGCCGTTGAGGGAGTGAAACCGATCGCCTCCAAGACTTCCCGCAGCTTGATGTACCATTGCCTAGGGGCTTGCTTGAGGCCATAGAGTGCTTTCTTCAGCTTCCACACTCTGCCACTCCCATCATTGTACCCCTCTGGCTGCTCCATGTAGGTCTCTTCCTCCAAAACTCCGTTGAGGAAGGCCGTTACGATATCCATTTGCTTCACCACCCATCCTTTGATGGCCGCCGCGGCGAAGAGGGTTCGAAGGGTTGTACCCTTCACCACAGGAGCATATACTTCATTGTAGTCCTTCTTCTCCTGCTGCTGGTACCCCTTGGCTACAAGTCTGCTCTTGTAGCACTCAATGTTGCCGTCGGCGTCGGTCTTGCGCTTGAAGAGCCACTTGGAAGAGATCGCCTTACGCCCCGGAGGTAGGTTCACCAAGTCAAACGTGTCGTTCTCGATGATGCTCCCCATCTCTTCATCTGAGGCCTTCTTCCACTCCTTCCCATTGGGGCCCTCCCAAGCCTCCTTGGGATTTGTAGGCTCCCCCGGTATCTCCACCGGAGAGAAGAAGGCAAAAGCGCACTCCTCGCTTTCATCTTCCGCTTCATCGCCTAGCATGAGAGCCGAACCGGTCAAGGTTGAGTTGGCTGCTCCTCCAAGCCGTTCATAGCTCAACCTATTGGGGGGCTGAGTCTTCCTTCTCCCCCTTCCTTCCTCCTCTACTACAGGGACTTGGATGCTCTCATGGCGTTGCTGCAAATCTGCTCGGTTCCCGCGAGCACATGTAGCACGAGGCGGAAGTGACGGTGTACGCTCATCACCTTGTTGCACCTCCTCCTCCTCTTCTCCCCCATTCATTTGAGGAGATTGCCTTGTGATAGTGCTGCTGCTACTCAGCTCCAAGGGCAGCTCCACATGCTCCAAGCCGGTACTCTTCACCTCTCCAAGCCGCACACCAATCTTCGCTTGGTTCTCCGCCTTCCACTCCTTGTACGGTAAGTTCTCCATGAACTTGCAATCTCTGCTCACCAGGAACTTCTTGGTAAATGGGTCCCAAAGAAGCCATCCCTTGCTGTTTTGAGCCATGCCCAGGTGCACGGCCCATGTTGCCTTGGCATCAAGTTTGTTGTGCCGAAGTTTCTTAGGCACAAGTGCCATGCACATGCACCCGAACACCCGAAGCATATCCACCTTCGGCTTCCTTCCAATCCACTCCACATAGGGCACCCATTTGTCTTCTCCCACATGAGTCAAGGCTCTGTTCTTGGCCACACAAGCATGCCGCACCGCATCCGGCCAATAGTAATTGGGTAGACCGGCTTCAATGAGAAGTCCCCGAGCCGTCTCCGTGAGTGTCCGATTCGCACGCTCGGCAATGCCGTTCATTGCAGGAGAGTAGGGCATGGTAAGAGAGTGCCTTATGCCCTGCTTCTTCAGCCAAGTTGAGAAATCCTTGCTCAGGAACTCTCCCCCACGGTCAGTGCGAATCGCCTTCACAAGTCGGTCTTGTTGCCGCTCCACGATCGGCAACCAATCGGTCTTCACCGTTTCAGCCACGTCACTCTTCTTTGGCAGCACATACACCCAAGTCATGCGAGTGTAGACGTCCACAATGGTGAGGAAGTACTCAGCTCCAGCAGCTCCAAGCTTCAAGGGGCCCACCACATCCATCACCACCTCATCAAGTGGTGCCTTCGCCGTTGTCTCCGAGCTATGGAACGGGTAGCGGGTGAACTTGGCTTGCATGCATGTTGGACAGCCAAGCACCTCATTGGGCTCCCCCTTGACACGTATCCCACTGACCATGTCTTGCTTGACTATCTGCTGCAAAATGGGCAATGCCACATGCCCCATTCGCCGATGCAAGGTCAGCCAATCACACTCTCCCGTAGCCATTGTTATTGTTGTTGCTGCCATATCCTCCATTACCACGGCCTCCATTGAAGTTGCTGCTGCCAAATCTTCCTCCTCGCCCTCTGCCCCTTCCACGGCCGTGCCCACGGCCCATGCTTGCAACTCCGGCACCATCGGTACCCGCCAATTCACGACGGCGGAAATCTTCTTGTAAGATTTCCCGCTTCACATCTTCGAGCGAGAGGCGGGGCAGATCTCGATTTAGGTTGATGATGAGCGAGGACCATGAGTCCGGAAGCAAGGCCAGCAGCTTGGTCTTCTTTTGAAGGTCACTGTAGTTCAGGTCAGCTCCTTCAAGCCGTGTCAACAAGTCGAAGAATTTCTGCACTCCGTCCTCCACCGGTTCGCCTTCGTCAATTCGAAGGGCCGCCATTTGCCGCTCCAAAACCACAGCCACCGCCGCTGTTGCAGGAGCGTGTACACCCTTGAGAGCAGCCCATGCCTTTGGTCCCTTTGCTGGTTCACGCTGAAGAGGCTTGATGTGACGGATTTGGCTGCTCCCCAACGCTTGCCCAAGTAGAAGGTAGCCTTGTGCGCTCTTCCGCACCCACGGGCTCTTCTCCGGGTCGTTCTCGGGGCGCTTCTCCGTTCCTTCCATCACCTCTAGCAGATCATAGTGGTCAAAGATGTTCTCCATCTTGAAGGACCACTCAGCAAAGTTGTCACCGTTGAACTTGTCAAGGCCAAACACTCTAGGCTCATCCCTAGAGGGTCCAAGGCTAGGTTGCACGGGAGCCATGGGTGGATCTTGGTGTTGACCTTGTGCTTGGGCGTCTTCTCTGCCTCCAGCAGCTCTGCCACCCCCTTCCTCAGGTCTAGGCATGGTCGAGACAGCTCCAAGGGG